TTTGCTGGCTGAACTGTGTGGTTGATATTCATGTCATTTAGTCACTTGATTTGATTACCAGCCTGACTTCCTTAAAAACAATTTTTAAATGGAAGGAACCTTTGGATTCGAAGTTGAAAAAGCCGTCAGTTTAGGTTGCTCATTTATAATGTCATGGTCCCAGACTCTACTGGGTTGTTTTGACCTCTTGATGGGGGCACAAAACCATGCAGCCTCCATTCGAAATTGTCGACCGTCTGATCCTTAGCATGAGCCAGTGAGCTGAAAGACAGCCATATAACCATATTAGTGTTGACAGTGAAGATGCATCTTATATTTAAAGATCAAGAAAATTCAATCTCCTGGCAGTTTGACCCATGACTCTCTGGTGTCCCCTGCCAGTTGCAAAAACATAGATTTCACATTCCAACCGTGGAATGTAGATGCCGTGCTTACTGGGTGGGTTTGCAGTAGATAACTTTGCCTGTAATCACTTTTCCTTTGATGGACGCAACAGACAGTTGTTCTGAGATGCCTGATAGTAGCAGCAGTGGCATGGCTAAGATCTCCAGAGCCGAATACTGTCAGATTGAAAGGCATAGATGTGTTCAGCTCAGTGACTGAGGATTATTATGCATTATTTACATTGTATAGTTCAGGAACTGGAAAAAGCCTAGCAAGAAAACTACCATTTTGAAATACTCGTATTAGGGGAGGATTTACTCTGGTTAGGGGATAGATAAAGTCTCTGAAAGATAATTGTATGAAGGAAAATAAGGTTGAACTTTACATTTATTGGAATACGTTAACCGCAGAAGTCATTAATAAATCAAGACCCATTTGTAGATACTGATTTCTTTTTCCTTTTGCTAGTTTTCTAATCTTGTTTTTGGCCTTCGTTTATGATACATGTTTTCTTTTCTTCCCAGCTTCCCATCTTCCTTAAATCATTTCATCTAGATATGTGTAGCCAATCTGTCCTTCTGAAAGGCCATTCCTTCTCTCAGTAAGGGGCAGGGAGGCACAGTGTAGACAGAAAAGCCAAGAAAAATCTTGATGACAGTTTTTTGGCCTCTCTGCTCTGGCCCCTATTTGCCTGCCCTGTAGCCCCCTGGGGATCAACAGGAAGACAGCAGCTTGTACTCCGCTGAGAAAGTGGCAGTGGCTGCAGAAGGGGAGATGCTAGGCTGTCCAGCTCTCCTCCTAGACTCAGAAAAGCAATGCAGACTGTGGGTGGTGTACTGAAACGCCCGCATTCTGTGCCATGGAATTGAATAGAATGAAATTCCTTGTCATCAGAGTGGAGCCTTTACCAATAATTGGCCAAGTAAAATACATGCAAATGATTTGAATTGCTTCCAAATATACAATTAGAAGCTTTTTACATTGTGATAATTTTGTTATAGCCTGTGTCTTTCCCCCATGTCTCAGTCACTGCATGCATGACTGGGGTACATCACTTAAGGAGTCCACCCCAAGGTTGTCTGAGCTTAAGATACACACTTCGCCTCTAGGGCTGCATGATATCTGGCTGTTGCCCTTGAAAACTTAGCCCTAAGGAAACCTGAAAAACCCATTGCCGTCGAGTCTATTCCAACTCATAGCAACCCTATAGGACCCAGAAGAACTACTCCGTAGGGTTTCCAAGGAGTGGCTGGTGGATTCGAACTGCCGACCTTTTGGTTAGCAGCCGAGTTCTTAACCACTGCGCCACCAGGGCTCCAAAACTCCCTAGCCTAAGCATAGTAGGGCTTCAGTTAATAAATGTTGGATGAATAGCACATTAGTTCAAATCAGTTACCTTTAGTAATTTATTTGTAAAAAGAGACAACTCTCCCTCACCACCTCCAGCTATGTTTAAGACCTCAGAAATAAGACAGTCTTGCCTCAGAAGAGCCTAAAAACCTAAAGAAGAGTTGTTGTCCAAAATGAAATTACAGAGGAAGTAGTAAATTTTGAAGCGGACCATACTACACGGATGACCTGAATTTTATACTTTTTTAACGCTTTAGGGTTGCAGTCACTTTTTAAAATAATAATAAATAAAAGAACCCATTATCAGAAACAAGTATGAGTTTTCAAAGAATTTCAGTAGAAATGCTAATTTGAGCATTGGAATTGTTACTTAGGGATCTCCACTGGAAATTATCTTTACTGTCTGTGAAGTGTAACAGAAGTGAGGCTTTATGCCCCTGAGGAGAACAGAGAAATAAAGGCTTTTCGTAAGACTTGAGCAAGTTGCAGCTGCTACCAAAATTAATGATCGAGAAATACTTCAACTATGAATCTGTCTTGCAGGATAAAACTTAAAACTCATCTAGTTCCAACAAATGGGATTTCCCCACAGCTATGTGCTCTCCCAGATAAGAGTAGCATGAAGCACTCTAAGTTGTAAAACCCTAGTTTAGAGAGCAAGGACCACGGGTTTGTTTCACTTGCCTTGAAGGAGCCCATAGATGAACAGTGCAACTCCAGCTTTTGCGCAGGTATCACATTTCACTGAAAATGTGATCTAACCACTGCAGAAAGTATGCCCATTTGCAAAATTTTATAAGTCTGCCATTTTGTCTCAGGATAGTAAATTAAACCATAAATCAAACAAATTGAGTCTTGAAAACTTTTGGTATTGTCAGAATTAATCAGCTCTGTAGAAGTGATGGTGTGACAAACATGAAATATTGAGTTGTTGAGTTGAAAAAGAGGCCTTCACTTAATATTGATGATGTTGATTTCTTTGGAAATAGTTTTGGTTCTCACTTACATATGACTAAACTCCATGGACATCTTAAGTTTATCCTAAACAACACAGTATTGACCTATAGTATGCATATGCACTATTGCTTAGAAGGACAAATAGTCGTCTTTGGACCCACAGAGCTGAGTTTGAATCCCAGCTCTGCCACGTACAGCTGCGTGTTGCCTCAGTTTTCTCATCTGTAAACTGGAACTAATAATTTCTGCTCCATAGAATAGTGATTAAATTAAAATTTATATGTGTAAAGTACCTGGCCCATAGTACATGCTCAGTAAATTGTTGCTACTATTAAAACACAGGAATCAAATAGACTCCATCTGTGGAAAGAGACAATGGAGAAGCTCAATATCATCAGTCAGAATAAGGCCATGGGCCAACTGTGGAACAGACTGTCAATTATTCATATGCAAGTTCAAGTTGAAGCTGAATTAAAACAAGTTCACAAGAGCCAAAGTACAACCTTAAGTATATCCCACCTGAATTTAGAGACCATCTCAAGGATAGATTTGACACATTGAACACTAATGACCGAAGACCAGACGAGTTGTAGGATGACATCAAGGACATCATACGTGAAGAATGCAAAAGGTCATTAAAAAGACAGGAAAGAAAGAAAAGACCAAAATGGATGTCAGAAGAGACTCTGAAACTTACTCTTGAACATAGAGTAGCTAAAGCAAACAGAAGAAATGATGAAGTAAAAGAGCTGAAGAGAAGATTTCAAAGGGCAACTGGAGAAAACAAAGTAAAGTATTACAATGAAATGTGCAGAGAGCTGAAGTTAGAAAACCAAAAGGGAAGAACATACTTGGTATCTCTCTAGCTGAAAGAACTGAAGAAAAATTCAAGCTTTGAGTTGCAATATTGAAGGATTCTAATGGGCAAAATATTGAATGATGCAGGAAGCATCAAAAGAAGATGGAAGGAATACAGAGTCACTCTACCAAAAAGAATTGGTCAATGTTCAACCATTTCAGAAGGTATCATATGATCAAGAACCGATGGTATCGAAGGAAATGCTTTTTGACATGACATTTCTTAGCAACATCTTATGTCTATGTATACCCCTTTTATGAGAACAGAATTATGCCCTGCCACAGAGGTATCTGAAAGATTCCTGGTAACTATAATTTTCCAGTAAAACTATTGAGAATTTTTACCATCTTCAGTTTTTTTTTTGCTTTCTAATTGGTTTCTGGGTGCATCTTTAGCCATTTTATTACTTGTCCATTTATAAATGTCATTAACACTGCAGCTGAGACTGAGATAACTTTCTTGTCTCCATTTTTAAATGAAGAGCTAAGTTTTCTGGTAATCACTGAGGTTATCGAGAGGTCCTGTATACTTCACCTTTCTATCTGCATATTTAAATATATTTAATGATTTCTCAGTAGCTTTGTGATGAGCGAGTCTAATTAAGGCATTCTACGCTGTATGCATTTTTTTCAAGTTCTTTTGAAGTCCCAGCTTTTGGTTACTGCTTTGGGGAAAACTTGAAAATGCATTACTCTTCTTTGAAATCCTTACAGGTCTGGATGAGTGTATAACAATATTATTAAGTGCAGATTGAGGAACTGACATGACTTTACATGTGTATAATTGATCAAATTTATAATAATTAGCTTTTGAGTCTTTTCTGAGGAGCAAGGGCATAGATGATCCAGAGAGCATTTATTACTAATAAAGGCATGAATGCATATGGAGTTTTAAGGTTGTTTTTAATCGCTGCAAGGATGCTCATGATCTGTAGGTAGATGAGATGTTACAGCAGCTCTGTTTTATCCTTGAGGAAATTGAGTCCCAGAGTAGTTGGGTGACTTTCCTGAAGTCATAAATACCAAAAAAAAAAGAAAAAAAAGAAACCACTGCTGTCAGCTGACTCATAGCGACCCTACAGGACAGAGTAGAACTGTCTCATAGGGTTTCCAAGGCTGTAAATCTTTACAGAAGCAGACTGCCACATGTTTCTCCCACGGAGCAGCTGGTGGGTTCAAACTGCCGACCTTTTAGTTAGCAGCCAAATGCTTTAACCACTGCGCCACCAGGGCTCCTTGAAGTCATAAATAGTGGCAAAGCTGGGATAAGAACCTGGCTCTTCTGTTCCTAATACAAATAAATTTTTTAGATCTTGCTAAGAATTGTAGTTCAATCATACAGTCCCAGGCATCAACTATTTCCTGACATTCAACACAGTTGATCATTCTACATTCCATATCAACGTATTTTCCATTTGACCCCAAGAACACTCTTTTGGTTTCCCTTCCAGTTTGAACGCAATGACCCTGTGGATGGGAGAATTACTGAGAGGCAGTTTGGTGGCATGCTGCTGGCCTACAGTGGGGTGCAGTCCAAGAAGTTGACAGTCATGCAGAAGCAACTCAAGAAGCACTTCAAAGAAGGAAAGGTAGGCAGCTTTACCTGGAGGAAGAAAAGGAACCATGGAAACATATATTGCAAAGGTCCTAACGTAATGGTAAGAGTATGTCATGAACCAGGAATTATGATTAATTCATCTCTGATATCAGATCCAAAGGGAGGGAAAAGATGAGAATAGATGAGGAAGAGAGGAGAGTCCAGAATGACTCCCAGGTTTCTTGTTTGGGCTAAGGGTGGCAGTGAACTGAGATTGAGAAGTTGGTTTGGAGGAAGATAAAGAGTTCAGTTGTGGAAATCTTGAGTTTAAGATGCCTGTGGACGATCCAATTTGAGATTACCAGCAGGCAGATGGATAGTCACATCTACCTCAGAGACTGAGGGAATTTGGAAATCATCAGCATACTGTTAGAGTTGAGACCGTGAGATTGTCCAAGGAGGGTATTATACAGAAAAGAACTGTGGGCCAAGGATAGAATCTAGTGAAACACTGACACTTAAGCAATTCAGGAAGGACGTCTAGAAGAAATAGCTAGAAAAATACCTAGAGGAATAATGAAATCAAAGCCAAGGGTGTAGAGGGTCCAAGAACTGAGGAGTCTACAGTGTCACATGCTACAGAGAAGGTCCAGTAAGGTAAAGATGATAAACATCCATTGGTTTGGGTGAAATGGTAATAATTGGTGACCTCTAGGAAAGCTGTTTCACTAGAATGGTCTGGTTGAAAGGCATGTTAGAATAAGAAGGAAGCAGAGATAGAGAAGGAAGGCAGAAAAGTAAGAAGGGAGAGGAGGTTCCAGACAGAGGGAAACAGCATATGCAGAAGCTCTGAGGCAGAAAGGACAAACCTGGCATGTATAAGGAGCTAGAAAGAGACTAGTGTGGCTGGAGCGTACAGAGCAAAGAGGAGAATGGCCTGAGATTGGAGAGGAAGAGCAGGGCTGGAACATACAGGACCTTGTAGACATGAAAGGAGTTTAGATTTTATTCACAGCACAGTGGGAATGCAAAGGGTTGTGAGCAGTGCAATGACATGATTGTTAAAAGAGATAACACTGGCTGCTATATGGAAAACAGTTTGGAACGGAATAAGCATAGAAGCAGAAAGACTAGTATTAAGATCATTAGAGAATTTAGAAAGAAAGATAATTGAGAATTTTTTGAGCAGCGTTGAGATTGGAGACAATAGATTTGGTTGGCACTAGTCAACCCTGCTCTCTGATACCCTCCAACACCAACTTCACCTGGTGCAGGAAAAGGAAAAGACAGATGGTAGAACTAAGGCAGCATCGGGGGCTTGCCAGGGGGTGGGATGGACAAACTGAAGCAGAGGCCAGTTAACTTTATAATCTTCATAAAGATCATACACACACATACAAAACATTTCCACTGGACCACTATTACCATCTGGCCAAGAGCAGAAACTGGTCTAGCACTAAAAGTGTGCAATGAGTGATTGCCAAGGTAGTGTGGTGTAGTAGACATGGAGCTAGAAGATTTGAGTTCAAGTCTTGCCTCAGAGATTTCCATGGGCATTAGACAAATCAACACCAGTGGCCTAATGAATTAAGAGGATTGGCATGGATGCTCATTATAAGGGCCTTTCTAGCTTTAAAGACTCCATAACTGAAAATAAGAAATAGGGTTGATGGTGCTTGTCTCAGCTTTCTTAGTCTTTGTGTAAGAAATCTTGTATGAGTAGCACTGCCTCAAGTTGGTAAAAAGCAGTGCTTATCAGGCAGCCATTTTCCTCCTGGTCTTGAATGTTGAGAAGCTCGAAAGCACCTCTGAACCAGGCTGGGCTCTGAGAGAAAATGTCAGCTCCTCTGAGCTCGGTCCTGCCTGTTCCCACAGCGGGTGTTCTGTTGGCTGGGGGTAGGGAGGAAGAAGGGTTTGAGGATCATCATTAACAGAAAGTGACAGAGGAAAATACTTTGCCCTCAGACAGCATTTCTGTGCTACCCAATGCACAGCTCATTATCTGTTGGAAATAGTAATTTCAAAAAATTGATTAGAAATGTTTAGGTGAATTTTTTAGTCCCTGTGCTGGATGCATAGTGTTTGTATTAGGACTCCTTTCTTTTGATCAGACTTATTTTTATAGTTTGGTCCAGACATTGATTTGACCTTCAATTCATTGTCTATCATGATAGGCTAATTCATTGTTTTATTATGAATTTACACTTAAAAGCAATGAATTAGGTGTTGGGGACATCATTCTTGAAGGAGTAGAGTATTTTAGCTTTGGCAGGAGTTAACTTAGGACCTGAAGACCTTGCAAAAGAGCTCTGAAGTAAAAGGGCAAATTTTATCAGATGATGAAAATCTAGGGAGCTAAATTACTTCTGGCCCAGAATTTCTAGCCTGTTTGAACGAGGAGATTAAGATTGATTGTCCTCTCATTTTGAGTAAATAGTTGTGAACACAGCAATTAACTAAAATGAGAGTTAATGAAGGGCCTTTGCACCTAAGGTTACCAGTCCATCTCTTTAGGACCATTTCCCTTTAAAAGGGAATCACCATCTGCTTTCTAATTGCTTCTTTTATTCCATTTTGGATTTGTTAACATGGAAGTGTAAGTTTTCATTTGGCTCATGTTAATCAGTTTCTCTGTGGGGTTCCGTATCAAGATACCAAACCAGACCTAAAAGATTGAAGGTCCGAGTAGTGGTATCAAGTAAACATTTACATGGTACTTGATGACCGTGCAATGCTTCACAGCCATTTTTCTTTTTTTTTTTTTTTGTCATGTAGGATTTTAATCATAGAAATTAATATAGAGATACTCTGTGTCTTAGTCATCTAGTGCTGCCATAACAGAAATACCACAAGTGGATGGTTTTAAAGAAGAGAAGTTTATTTCTTTACAGTCAAAGTAGGCTAAAAGTCCAAATTCAGGGCATCAGCTCCAGAGGAAGTCTTTCTCTCTCTCTCGGCCTTCTCATCAGTGTTCCCCTGGACTAGGAGCTTCTTGGCACAGGGACCCCGGTCCAAAGGACGCACTCTGCTCCCAGCACTGCTTTCTTGATCGTATGAGGTCCCCCTGTCTCACTGCTCACTTCTGTCTTTTATATCTCAAGAGATTGCCTCAGGACACAATCCAGTCTTATAGATCAGGTCCTGCCTTACTAACACAACTGCCACGCATCCTCCCTCATTAACAACATAGAGGCAGGTTTACAACATACAGGAAAATCACACAGTACCAGGAATCATGGCCTAGCCAAAATGATACACACATTTTTTGGGGGACATAATTCAAACCATGACATTCCACCCTTCGGCCCCCAAAAAATCACATCCTTGCAACATGGAAAACATATTCACCCCATCATATCATAGCAAAAGTCTTAACTCCAAGTCCAAAATCCAAAAGTTCCTCTTCATCTGTGAAATCTAGAATACAACTTATCTGCTTCCAAAGGTACAATGGCAGAACAGGCATAAGCTAGACATTTCCATTACAAATGGGAGAAACTGGAGGGAAAGAAGGGATAACAGGCACCAACAAGTCAGGAGAACATGTTACATTAGCCCTCAAGGCTTTGAAAATAATCTGTTCTCAGAGACAATTTACACAATGGCCCTGCCCTCCAGACTCTAGGTATTGGCCACAGTCTCTGGATTCTGAGTGGAGGCGCATCAGCTCTGGGCTTCAGCTCCACCTTCCAGGCCCACTGGGACAGCAACTCTGCTCCATCAGAGTGACAACTCCACCCTTAGAATCACCTGAGGCTATGGCTCCACCCTTTGAAACCCATGAGGTCATGGCCATACTTTTTGAGACCGAGGCAGCTCAGCTTCTTGTGTCCCTTGTCTCTTCAGCTTGTTTTCTGGTTTCTTGGTCTCTTGGCCCTCAGTCCTCATGCCTGCATCTGCCACTGGGGCAAACGTTCTGAAACCCGGTAGCTCCACCGATAAGTGCCCAGAGGCATCCCACTCTGCCGGGAAGCCTCCTGCACACAGGCACTCAGCTCCCTTGCTCCTCGGTTGGGCAAGCCTAGCTCCACCGACAAGCACCCGGAGGCACCCCACTCCGCCGGGAAGCCTCCTGCGCACAGGCACTCAGCTCTCTCACTCCAGGGGTCGGCTCCAGCGCCATCTTGCACTGGTCTCCTGGTTCTGCTGCTGTTGGTTCTCTGCTGCTGCCACTCCTCTGCTGCTGCTGGTCCTCTGTCACTGCTGCACATCTATCCATTCACAGTTTTAGAACCACTTCCACATTTTAGGTATCTGTTAGAGCAACACCCCACTCTCTCGGTACCAAATTCTGTCTTAGTCATCTGGTGCTGCCATAACGGAAATACCGCAAGTGGATGGTTTTAACGAAGAGAAGTTTATTTCTTCACAGTCAAAGTAGGCTAAAAGTCCAAATTCAGGGCATCAGCTCCAGGGGAAGTCTTTCTCTCTCTCTCGGCCTTCTCATCAGTGTTCCCCTGGACTAGGAGCTTCTCGGCGCAGGGACCCCGGTCCAAAGGACGTGCTCTGCTCCCGGCACTGCTTTCTTGATTGTATGAGGTCCCCCCACAGCTGTTTTTCTTGTTCTATCTTTCTAACAGCCTTGTTCGATCTAATTTTGCTTTTGAGAATCTAGAGACACATGGAGAGAGATTAATGACCCACCCAGAGTATGGACTAAAATCTAAGGCTTTCTGTTCCAGATCTTGTCCTTTGCATGGGAAGATGCTCTTTTTCCTAACCATACTCTTCCTCTAAAGCAGTGCTTCTCAATCCTGGCCTTGTATTAGGATCACTTGGGGAACTTGTAAGAAATATGATTGCCAGAGCCCTCTTCAAACCAGTTAAATCAGAAGTTCAGTGGGTTGGGCCCCGGCATCAGTATTTTTTTTAAAAAAAAAGTTCCCCAGGTGATTCCGTTGTGCAGCTAGGCTCATGAGCCACTGCTCTGAAGGTGCAGTTTTATCCCTGAGTAGTAGCTTAAAGAATTAGGGAATCTGACATGCATGGGAAAATTACTCTATTCATGCTTTGAGTAATGGCTATGTATTTTTATTTAATAAAGACAGAGTT